TGTGTGGATTGATGGGGCTCTGCAGATCCCACTACCTCGCAGAACGGACAGAGAACAGGTCGAGGTAGGAGTCGGCAAAGAAGGGGAGGAATGGACTCGCTTCCCCGGAGTCCCAGACTGGGAGAAGGAACGCAAACAAGCCATCGAGTGGGAAGGGTTGCCCCCGCTCACAGGACGAAAACAGAGTGGAAGGACCATATTCCTCAACGTGCGAGATGTGTGGTTGGGAGTGGATGGAACGGTGCAGCAAGTCGTCCACCCTGGTTCTGATCTCGTCAACATTGCTGTGGAAAACGGCAGGATCACTTGCGTTGGCGACAGTGTTGCCTGTCCAAGCACAACATTCGATGCGGCCGAACATGTAGACCTAAATGGTGGCTCTGTTTCGCCTGGCTTGATGACGTTCGGCTCTCAGTTGGGGCTTGAAGAGATTCGGAGCGAACCTTCGACAGGAGACGGCTCGCCATTTGACGCATTTACAGACAGAGTCCCAGCGATCCTTCATGACCCGGGCGCAGTTGTAAAGGCGGCAGATACGTTGAGGTTTGGGACCCGAAACGCCCTGTGAGGTTTACTTTCATATCATTACATAGTATCGCTGATGGAGGACAGAACAGCGTACCGTTCCGGCGTAACATATGGGACAGCGTGTTTAATGAAATCTGCGTTTGGTGGCCGCAGCAATGTTATTGCGGGTGTGTCCGCGACGTTTCGCACCGGGGCCTCACATGCGATGGAGAGAGGGGCCATTATTCAAAGCGATGTCGCCCTACATGTGGCAATACACAGGCCAGACCCATTCTCGAAGAAGAGCGATGTCAGTGTAAGCACCCAGATCGCAGGCCTCCGAAGACTGTTATACGGATGGGAGGACCAAGAAACTGACACGGGAAAATGGTTTTAAACGGGCAGCAGAGGTAACGTTCGTCCATTCGCCCATTACAGTGGCCATTTATCACGCAGTTTCAGGGAGTGGTGCCGCTAGTTATCGACGTCGGAAATGCGGACATCATGGCAACACTGCTGATCTTGAAAGCCGAGGTCGAAAATCGACTGGGCTCACGAATGCGAATGGTCTTCAGCGGGGCAGCCGAAGCACACATCCTCGCGAAAGAAATAAGTGTGTGAGGTTGACATGTTCGACGACCACTGAAAAGTTTGGTTCTCATAGGTGGCGCCAATGTAGGCGTGATCCTCGACGCCAAACCGACGGTGGGCGTTTGGGACGATCACAGAACGTTGGTCGACATGGCCTGCCGAGATGTCAACATGTACTCATACACGAACAGATTGCCTGGACCGCCACTCACCAATGACACAACACTCGTTATATTGATCCGAGAGGGCGTGAAGGTTGGGCTGAGGAGCCGCGAGGCGCAGTTTGTGCGCAATATAGGTTTCGACCTCGTCTCGGTGCGTTCAGACGCCTCGGATCTTGAACCATCTTGGATTAATACGCCTATTTAGGCGATGTTAGCCTCGAACGGGCGCATCGGAAAGGCCGAAGCCTACGCTCTGGTTTCCACGAATCTTCGGGAATTATTGGGAGTGATAATGGACGACCAAACGGGGGATCTGGTTGCGTATACTGGGGGTAGCTTGTTTGAAACATCGAGCAAAGTTGCCGCGGTCATATCCGCTCGGAAAGGACAAGTCGATATTTTCACTGTCACGTAGATACTCTAGCCTACGCAACACCCAGGATTGCTGCGTTGCTTCTTATTCCCCAACTCCGAGCACCAGCTAGAGATATGCAAGGCAGCTCAGAAAGCTGGGGAAATGAGTCCAGTGATCCGACTCAAAAGTCGGGAATGCAGCAAGCATTTCGTTGTTACCTGAAGAAAGCAGCACGAGAGATTGAGCGTTCTTCATGCGGGGTCCGGGAGGAAGAGAAGATGGAGCGGAGGACAACAGGTGTAACTGGTATCCGACGCGAGGAATCTGAAGGGGGCTGTAGAAGAAAGCGCTATCCCCCCAACGATGGCGCGCAAGCACGTGATCCGGTGATCGCGGGCCGCTCACGTGTCCTTACGCAACACGCGCCAACAAGTTCAACTCCGCAAATCCAAAGCATACGTCCGGCGCGCTGCCTGTGTGGTTGCCTGCCTGTAGTACGAGAGGCATGAGATTACAGATTGCATTGAATATTTGTATGCTAGAAAGTCCTTCATTTACGCTACTTATGAAGAGTTTATTCGAGATAGCGATCGCCGTCGTTCGCCGATCGAAGCATCCATTGTCGATGCACTACAGCTTTGTCTACAGTACCTACAGCCACAGTCCGGCCACTTTGCCTTGAATTTTGAGGTGTTGAGAGCCTGAAGGTGGAGCTACAGTACCGGTAGTCTATATCTCGGCATTGGCTGCATGGTGCGCACACGAAAAAAGCCATCAGATGGCTCATCTGGCTTCTGTGCAACTCTCTATTCGCTCCTCTCTTTGCCTGTTCCCATTTCTTCCATTGACACCTGTTTCTGGATTGACTTTGACTTGAATTCGGCAGGTACAGTAAGTAGAGTATTGAATATCAAATTTGGGCTGAATCCGGCACTACAAGCCTCAGACAGAGGGAAATAAAGACTCTCTGCATCTTTGAGAATGTCTGCTGTCTTAGCGCTCACCGAGTCGCGCTAGACTTGTGGAGTTGTTCAACTTGTTGCGTAAGGACACGTGAGCGGACCGTGATCACCAAATCACGTGTTTGCGTGCCATCGTTGGGGGGATAGCCCTTTCTGGCTGTAGAGGAGTCGGTCTCGCTGTAAGACTGATCCTAATCCTAAACATAAAGAGAGCTCGGTCACAGCCATGAAAATCACGTGAAAATCACAGGTTAAGTCACATGCTTTTCACGTGAGCAGCTTTTTTGGCTCCGGTGTGAAGAGCAGCGTTTCAACCACACTGCAAAGATGTCAAATTTATCTGATAGGACCCTCTTCTCCTCTCACCTTTCCTTCAGTTATGATCCTGTAAAGTGCCAGTATTTCCTCTCCCTTCTTACTTATTCTTACTGTGTGTTTTTTTGAAGCTGGAGAAATTGAATTTAGCATTGTAATATTGCCGTCACTTCTGTGCTTATCTGTCTGATGTACTGCAATTTTCCTTTCAGTGTTTTCTTTTTTGTGGCCCTTCTGCTCAGTTCCTTCTTGATCAACATCTCTATAAGCCATGTTGTTTTGCAAATAGTAATGTTAAAAAGGGCACAATGCTTGGAGAGCTGCTCCGGCAGATCCATCTGATTACTTGGGATGAAGTTCCAATGCAAGATTGACATGACCAAGAAGCTGTGGACACTTCAGGCTACCTCAACCTAGACCCCAATAGGCCTCATCCGTCCAAATCGAGTTGTGGCCTAAGAGGCCCTCCCAGGGTGGGTACGAACCACCTTGTGGGTATACTCACTTATCATGGGCATGCCCACCTTGGGTATACCCACCTATCATGGGCATGTCCACCATGGGTATACCCATGTGTCACATCACGGCCAGGTGGGCATGCCCACTCCTTCTGGCCCAGCTCATTTTTGCGATTCTGGGGCCTGCGCAGGGCCCGTTTTGCGGCCCTTGCTGGCCCCAGGCCTTCTTCCCTTTACATAGCACCTATCTGCCCCCTCCACAGCCACTATACGCCTGCTGGCGGTGCCTGGTGCACCCAGTAGCAGCTTCTTTCCAGTTCGTTTTTGTGATTCTGGAGCCTGCACAGGGCCCGTTTTGCGGCCCTTGCTGGCCCCAGGCCTTCTTCCCTTTACATAGCACCTATCTGTACACTTACTCCAATCCTGGTGGCCGATCATACACTCCATATTGCATTCTAAATGTACCATACATAGAACCCATCTGTACACTCAGCGGCCACCTGGTGTCATACACTGTAAAGGTACCATACATAAAACCAATCTGCACACTCAGTGGCCAACGGGTGTCATGATACACTCTTTTTGCATTCAGCATGTAACTGTACATATGTGGGCTGTATGTAGGAAAGGCGAAATGATCAGTCAGTGAACATGCCCACATAGAATATGGATATCTCCACATGGGCATGCCCACGGGATGGACGTACCCACTGTGGGCATGCCCACTGGATGGGCGTACCCACTGTGGGCACACCCATCCCATCATGGATATGTCCATGTCATGGGCATACCCACTACCCAATCAATAGGTATACCCACCGGTTTGTTTGGCTCCTACGTGGGCATTTCCACCTTACTGGTGGTTGTGCCCACATCAAAGTGGATATATCCACTCAGGAACCAAACAAAGATGTGGGTGTACCCACCTTTAGTCCAAATGACTTGTAATTTTGTTTTTGTGTTGCTCTCTTATGTGGGTCATCAATATATTTTATAGCTCTAATACATTTCAAATGGTGATTTATTACTTATCCTGCCCCCATTGATCTTTTTCTCCCTGTGCTGTCTTATCTCTTCTTTACTTTTTTGTGAAATTCCCTTTTTGGGACACTAGCAGTAGTGTTCCTTTTTTGGTCATTGCCCATTTTTTTTCGCCCAAGTCATTTTCATTATTCAGGTAAAATGGCCCACCACCGATTCACTTCTAAATAGGTACACAAGTCTATTCGATGTTCCATTTCTTCCATGTTTCCCTTTTTTTATGCCACTTCGGCAAAACTTCCCGTTTCGTCCAAAAAAAAAAGAAAAAAGCACAAGTAAAAACAACAATATATCTCTCTCTATGTTACATTTCCTTGAAAAATAAACGAGCGCTACGACTCTTGCCTGCCCAAGCCCTTCAAAAAGGCCGAAAAAAAAGCCGCAAAAAGACGGCTTGGCCCCAAATTGAACGAGGAACCTCTGCGAGGGTGTTCACGTATCTGGAGCCCAAGATTACACGGTGTGATACCGTTACACTACCAAGCCCATGCTCAGGGAAGAAGGCATTGGAATACCTGGGCCAAATTCCCTTTCACCCATTGTTTCATGCTAGTCACTTGCATCATAAGTATTCATTGACTATTGAAAAAAATTGAACGCAAAAGAATGGCTTGGCCCCGAATTGAACAGGGAACCTCCGCAAGAGACTTGCACATATCTTGAACCAAAGACGTATGCAGCGTGATACCGTTACACTACCAAGCCCATGCTAGGACATCTGGCATCGGAATACCATGCAATTTCTCACCATACCTACCTCCGAAAAAAAAAACAATCAAGAAAGTCAGACAAAAAGAAAAAGAAAAATGAGAATCAGAAACGAAACATTTCTCGTACATGAAGAGAAATATGTTAACAATTTACAGCAAATCGTAAGGAATCTCATATCGATGGTACTGAGTCTTCGCCCAGATATCATATTCCTTCATCATCACCTCTATCTGGGCGCTAACGTCCTCCAACTGAGTCTCATCCTCGAACGAGCTGCAAAGTTCATTGTATAAATCTTGTAGTGCTCTCATCTGGTCGGTGAGGAGGCGCTCGGCGGTTTCGTGGGATGGCTTGCGCCGCAGGTGGGTGACCCCTTCTGGGACCAGCTTGTAAGCATTCACTGTTCAATAGTATTAGTTCGCCAGTCAGAGGCCAGACAAGACAACTCCACGCACTGACATGCAATTTGCACCCGTGTCTCTTTCGTCCACAGGCTACTGCGTCCTCGGGACAAGTGCACTACAAAACCAGTCAACCCCCCAATCATGTGAAACAAAACGAATAGCATGCACCGGAGGCCGCGCATCGGCGGCATTACACAACGGATTGTCCTCAGAATAAATATAACACGCCTTGCAGACGTCGCAACCGGGACTTGGATGGAGTTCGCCCGCCAAATGGAAATCCGGGCGGTAAGCACCGTATCCCAGAGGTGCAATGAGCAACCCACAAGAACGGCAGGTGTCGGAGGAGAACTGCACCTCCCTGGTGCGCAGCAGCTGGGGCCTGGTCAACAGCATGGCCAGCAGGCCAGGGGAGCTGTTGTCGTGACTCACGTTGATATCCCAGAGTGGTTCCACGACAGAATGAAGGTAGGGTTTACGTGGGGGAGACGTCTTGTGGCGTTCGGCAGGCATCATGCAGGGTGAGAGATGGATCGGCTCCGTCAGTCAATTAAATAGGGCGCGCGAGGTTCTGCCACTTACTTGCTCATTGTCCGTTTTCCACCTTTTGCCACTGAGTTCTCCCTTTTCGGCAATCTACTCTACCCATTGTTTCCCCACGACCCGCCCTGCCGCGTCCACCTGGGTCTGCCAACTGCGGCGCGCAGCGAGCGGGTGTGTGTTGATCTGGTTCATTAGATGATTTGACGCCGGGGCGCACACCTTTAACCCCCTACGCCGGCCTCCATGTCCACGTTTGGGGTGCCGCACGCCCTCGCTGTTTCGGGCGGTGTGCTGGCTTGTTTGCCCCCCCCCCCCTCAAAAAAAAAAAAAAACCACACTCATCCCCCCACCAAAAATATTAAAATGATAATAATAAACGGTGCCCGTCCCTTCTTTAGTGTCTCCACCTCTTTCTCGACCCAAGTCCATTAATTTACTGCGCAGAGGTAAAAATATGTGTACACACCTAACATTTCCCCAAAAAATTCCTCTGTTTCCCGAGTCGGGGATAGCTCGGCCCCGGATCGAACGGGGTACCGTCCTGAAGACGGCGTGTCCAACCACATCGGGCTGTTGAACAACACACACACCAAAAGGTAGCGCAAGAAAAATTGAAAGTTACACAAAAACCATGTATACGACACCAAAAGGGAGTGTAATAAAAATTGAAAGTGACACAAAAACGAAGTACACGGCACAAAAAGGGAGCACGAGAACTTGAAAGTTACACAAAAACCAAGTAGATGGCATAAAAGAAAGAAGTACGGAATACACTAAGTAGTCTCATCCGTCCCCTCAACCGACCCTAACTAGCGCGTGACGAGACTGTGGTAGTTCTCCGCACTCTCCCCGTGGGACGGCGCTCCGCTCAGGCGGCGGCGCACCTCATCGAGGTCGAGGGCGATGGTGACTGGCGCAGGGGCCACAGGGAGCGCCTCCCCATCGTCGGACATCCCCTCCAGCCTGGGCAAGCTGCTGTGGGTGCTGAGAGTGTGGATGCTTGTCGCAGGGGTGCTAGACTCGTGAGGAGGGGTCGCGATCGAGACGCTGGTCTCATCAGACTCAGAGCCCTCCCAGCCGGCGAGCACCGACTCGTTGTCTTCGTCGGCGGCGTCGTAGTAGCCTTGAATACCAGGGCCCCAAGCTGCGACATGCTCAGCGAAAGTTCGATTCAAAATGGAGCAAGGACGCACGAATGATGATACCCGACTCCTTCACATTCAAAATGAGATCACCACCCAGGACCGCGTGTTCCTGCACTGCGCAACATAAGTCCCCGTCCATGGCCAATGAGGGAGAAACTCACCGTAATGCATTGCACGCCTCCCCAGTCCTGCAGTAAACGCCTCGTAGGCTGCAACAACCGACGGATGAGTGAGCTGTCTCAGGAGGTGAAGAAAATACGCACCTGTCTCAAAGTGCCTCTGCCAGGCGTCACCGCCAAGCTCAGACAGGACCTCGCGGAACTCCCGTTCTGACAATGCAGAATCAGCATAGGACGGCCGAAGAACGCAGACACAAACATACCGGCTCTGTGTTCGGCCCAATATCGCAGCACCTTAGATGCCTGGGCGGCGGCTCTACGGACAACAACTTGGGTGTTCCGCCACATCATTGCGCTATAGACCCTACGGTGGATCCCGGCATTGTGGAGATCGGCGGCCGAGAACTCCAGGGGTGAATTGTTGTTGAGGGGCAGGTACGGGTCTACGAGGTGAGGGGTACCTGGGGTAGGCCGGCCACAGTATTTGTCGAACCACCGCAGAGTCCTGTATGGTGGCGGGGGTGGGATGAAGAAGTCCGGCAAGCTGGACTGCTTGAGGGGGCGCACGACCGGGGTGGGCAGGCTAGCCTGGCGCTCTGGACGGGGGAGGACGGGGCGGACGTCCACGTAGTCGAAGTATACAGTGATGCTGGCTTGGTATCTCATGATTAGAAGTAGAGCTTTGGATACGGATCGACGCACCTTTCTGGGCCCTTTATACTCCCCGACCCACGAACAATGCCCGCACGTCGTTGCCCATTCAGGTAACCTGCAATTCCATTATCAATACACATCGCGGTGATCGAGCCACACTCACTTGAATGCGGTCACTTAGTTCTTCCGCTTCCTTCCGTTTTGGTATCAGCTAAGCGACGATCCCCAAGTTAAAAGCCACACACCGCCTTTTGACCCCCCTCCATTTTCCTGCACGTTTTGCAGGTTTCGATTGCGTGGCCACCACTCGACCACTCGGCGCTGCGCTTTTTTTTTCTGGCTTTTTTGCTGTTGCTCGGTGTTACGAGTCTACGTACTCGGTTTTATTTGACTCTCTACTACCATGCTACCCTACGCCAACATCCTACGCCACAATTCTAGTACTACTCCGTATATAATATTACCGTGGTGGTGGTAAGAAGACAAGTGCGAAATAGGCGCCGGCACCAAACAACACCACTGATACGGCTCCCGTTTCGGGTGCCGGACTGGATACGCGCTCACGTGCCTCGCTCATACGCGTCCTCTGATAGTAAGATATCTATTAATCCTTGTCGGAGTCCCAGAATATGTCGTGGTCGTCTCCGACATCACCGCCCTCGTTGCCGCCTCTGTGATTGTCCGCTCGCTCCACCACCGCTATCACCTGGAACAAGTCGTCCTCCTCCTCCTCGTAGTCCTTGGCCTGCTGTTCTTCACCATCGCCCCAGGACGCGGTGACAGTGGAAATTTCGCAGCTGAGAAGGTCCTCCTTCGTTGGCCCCCATTCCGGTAGCAACATGTTCTGGTCCATCCCAAGGCGATCCAGGGATTTCTTCCACAACACACAAAGCTGTAATAGCCCCTTGTGCCTGAGCTCGAATTGATACCGTACAGAGTCTGCCGTCGTGTCGTTGTATGTCAGCCGGTGTCGTACCCCAAAAATGTTGGGGGTTAAGACATATTCATCTGTCACAATTACCCTCGTCAATAATAATCAGAAATCATCTCAGTGCATGAGCATGGCATCACAGCTCGAATATAAGTTGGTTGTAAGACTTCTCTGAAGACAGGATTCATGAGTACTATGCACAAAGGATTACCATTATGAAATTATGATTTATGCCCATACAATTATGCCACAATATGCAGTAGTTTACTGACTCTTCCGTAAGAAGTCAATTGTTCCCACCCCTGAATCTGACCTCATCAATATTAGTTATCCTTGCTCAGCATAACTACGGCAGCTCCCCTTGAGCTCCACTTAATTCAGGGGTAGCTCCACAATGACCTCATTAACCTATGACATCATCACTTAAGGAAAAGGTATAAAAGGACCGCTGTAGTCAGTTGTGTAGCATCCAAGTATTTAGTACCCCACCTTGGTATCACCTCTCTACTAGTAAATTGAGTTTGTATCTTGCTCAATTACACTGCCCTTTCATCCTCTAAATCATTTGTCTGCCTCAAGTCGTTTGAATTAGCAGCAAACTCAGCCATTAGTCTTTGTATTTCAGATTGCACACATAGTTGCTGCAATTGGTACAACACCTTCGTTCAGATTACACATACTGGAAACGCTGTAATTGAACCAAGCATCAGTAACACAGTTAACGAATTCACGAACAGTTCAGATTACACGTACTGGAACCGCTGTAATTGAACCAAGCAAATCAGACACACCAAAGCAAGAATATTAGTTCAGATTACACGTACTGGAATCGCTGTAATTGAGCCAAGTCACGATCACGAATACAAGTTCAGATTACACACACTGGAGTAGCTGTAATTGAACCAAGCCCCAAGTATTAACAACGAACAGAACAAACAGTAGTTCAGATTACACACACAGTTGCTGTATTTGAACCAAGCCTAAGTAACGAAAACAAGAAGTTCAGATTACACACATTCAGTTGCTGTAATTGGACTAACATCAGATATCAGTCAGAAGTCTTGAAGACTACCCCTTACGTGATTCAATTTCATTACAGGTTGACCCTTTTATTTTATAGGAATTCAGAAGTACTCAGATTGATAGGTAGATCCTGCTCAGTCTAAGAACCACACCAGTTCATCGGAATATTCGATTT